TGCCACTGTACAATGTCTTCTTCTTAGTCGTTCTCTTCATTACTGAAGGTCATGTCTAGTCTGGTGCACGCGTCACTCGGTGCATAACCCTCCTCCAAGCGCCCCTGCCCCTACGATCTTACAATACGGCTTGTGGAACTGTCAGGCCGGTTAGGGTACTTACAGCATGTAGCCAACGGGTAGGTGAACGACCATGAGGTCTTTTCCTGTTAACCTGACCAACAACCACAAGCTTCTCCAGATTGTTGAGTTCTCCACGCGTAATGTGGCCAAAATAGGTTAGTATATGCAGTAGACATACGTTGGACAACCTCGCAACAACCGATCTTCTTGAGAATGGAGTCGTTGGTGCGACGAACGGTCCAAGGAATACGAAGCATGCGTCTCCAGCACCATATTTCAAGGGGGTCAAGTTTTGCGCTCTTAGTTTTCCTTAGCGTCCAGGATTCAATGCCATACAAGAAACTGGAGAAAACCAGCGCAGGCACCAGGGCACCAGCCTCACTTTCCGTCCGTGCTACCACTAGAATTTTTTAAAGATTATAATACTTTACCCAGTAATACTTTGCCCGACCCGGGAATCGAACCCGAGACCCCCTTGCCCGGTAGCCGCATTTGCGAACACTCGGAAAATACAAACAATTTATTGTTGTAATTGACAACGCCATCAAGGCCCGTCGTGGTAGCCATGTCCACAGATAGGTCACACACATTAATATTTTATCAAGCGCATTAACTAGAGGTTTCATCAATAAAATCTGATGCGAAATCAATATAATAAGAAAACCTATACCCATGTATAAGCGGGCCTGCGGACCCCAGCTTGGATGGCTCCCCGTCCGACCAGAAACTGACCAGAGCGTACGGCGAATTATGTCTTTCCGGCAGGCAAGTTGCAAATAAGGACGAAATTGATTGCAACTAATTTATTGAATAAAATTACAGAAAAGTTTTATTTCTAAATTAAGTGACTCTTGGTCGAAGTTGGAAACAAAAGTGTCGTGTATTCTAGAAAACGATGCCGTCGTCCGGTCCGTCACGTTGTAGGGCACGATGGGCTGATGCAGCAATTTCGCCATCGCTGCACGACTGATGCAATAATAATATTATGTATTTCAAATAATTTGCCAATCTGCGGAATCCATGGACTGTTGCTATGTAAGAGGCGCGTAAACAAAAATACCCAACAACAATGTACATACAAACAGGAAAGTATTAGGATCCAAGGAGAGAAATTTTTGGTAAGATGCACAATGTACGTGCACCTAATTGCAATTATAGCACTTCAGATAAACTTTCTCTGGCAATAGTTACTAATAATTATTGATCTGCATAGAACGTAGGTACCAAATTATTTTTATCTTTATTTTAATAGTACCTAGGGCTTTTTGACATGTACCGACTGAATAAATAAATAAAATAAAGCAGCTGAACCGTTCATAGGTTTTTTTAAGGGGGGAAAATCATCGAATGATTGCTCCCGCCTGGGTGAGGCGGGAGGGAGTGTCAGACTCTTACTGACTAAAAACCACCCCGTTCCTTCTCCTGCACGTCGAGCCGGAGCCCTGGTAACCCGTTAGGTTCTCCGCGACCCCGAATAACTTCGAGGACGCTCGATAGATTTCGAGTAACTCTCGACAGTTTTCGAGGACGCTCGATAGATTTCGAGGACGCTCGATTGTTTTCGAGGACGCTGGATTGTTTTCGAGTACGCTCGATAGTTTTCGAGGACGCTCAATTGTTTTCGAGGACGCTCGATAGTTTTCGAGGACGCTCGATTGTTTTCGAGGACGCTCGATTGTTTTCGAGGACGCTCGATTGTTTTCGAGTACGCTCGATAGTTTTCGAGGACGCTCGATTGTTTTCGAGGACGCTCGATTGTTTTCGAGGACGCTCGATTGTTTTCGAGGACGCTCGATAGATTTCGAGGACGCTCGATTGTTTTCGAGTACGCTCGATAGTTTTCGAGGACGCTCGATAGTTTTCGAGGACGCTCGATTGTTTTCGAGGACGCTCGATTGTTTTCGAGGACGCTCGATTGTTTTCGAGGATGCTCGATGGTTTTCGAGGACACTCGATAGTTTTCGAGAACGCTCGATTGTTTTCGAGGACGCTCGATTGTTTTCGAGGATGCTCGATGGTTTTCGAGGACACTCGATAGTTTTCGAGAACGCTCGATAGATTTCGAGGACGCTCGATTGTTTCGCTCGATTGTCGCGATCAGCCCTGTTGGGCCCCATCCGTGGTGGTCTGATGGCTCTTTGAGGCGCGCGCGGAAAGCGACGCGCCCTACGCACCGTTTATAGGTTTAACTAGCCCTTAATTTTATAATTGCCAGCTTAATTAAAGCTCTTAAAATTAACGACCTGATACCTCTGAGACTCAATACGTCGACACTCATACAAAATGTGTTGCATGTCCTCTACAACATCACACACAGTGTTGACGCCTAACCCTACGTCGAGAGCGGGGGGTCTGCCCGCCTCCCCCCCTCCTCGTCACGGAGTGTATATATGGGAGTGCGCCGGATCATCGATCATCGATCGACGACTAGTTTTGTATTCATTCCGCTCATAAGGACAATTAATATTGTAAAAAGTTTAAAAGTAATAAATCAGTTAGTATATTGGCATCCAGGGTTTATTTTCAGCTCCGCACACAATACCTGACACACCACAGTATAAGCAGTATAACCTAGCCCTAGACACACAGCACAGCACAATTGCGTGATTCGACTTTATGCATCATGAATCCATGTGTCCAGATCGGAGCCTTAGCCGTAATTTCTTGTCTGCTCATCCCGCCTTCACGGAACCGGAGAGCACGAGGAAGCGTCTGTTGTATTGTTTTATACTAAATGCCTATAATAAGTGACCTTTTGTCGAAGTATTCTGACCATTTCCCGATCGTTCGATCGTTCCGAGATCGTCCCGCGATCCCCGACGCTCGGTGTGTCCTTCGCGATGGCTGGGTTGCGAGGAGGCAGCGCTTCGCTGGCTCACGCGTCCCGCCTCCTCCTTAGCTAGCATAACTGCTTTGCAAATGGAGGAGACGTCATCCCAGTCCCCCTCGCTCCGCATCATGACCTGCACTAGGCCTGGACGCGAGAGGTCGCCATCGCCGATCACTTCCCTGAGGGCACGACGGTGTTCAGCCCACGCAGGGCATTCCGCTACCGTATGTTCCACCGTGTCTTCAGGGCGGTCCTCACAGTGATGACACCCCGGGCGTTTCCTCCCGCCCCATCAGACACAGGTACCTCCCGAAACTTCCATGTACGGTGAGGACCTGCGTCAGGCGGTAGGTGAGGACGCGCCGTAGCGTCTCTCAAGCCACTCCTCAAAGAGGGGACTTACCGCTGCAATGACAGCGAGCTCAGCCCTCGGTTGTTTTGATTTGTCTATTATCTAAATTAGGTTTAACGTTAGATGTGTCCATATTACTGCCCCACGTATCCATAGAGAATAAACCAAACCAACACCTAGCACTTGTATACCTACACGTGTTCTCGCTTTATGGCATCATGTGTAGAAACTAGGAGAAGTATTTTTTAATTCCTCCAAAAACGATTGTTACCGTATGTATGTAAATACCGTATGGTCCCATATGGCAGGGTGATACTGCACTACCACAATTACCCTCTCTGTATCGAAAGACGTCCTTGATTTTCTCCGAGCGTATCACCCAGAGTTATTGTTTGAACAAACCCGTGCCTGTTACTGCTGGTGGGAACCGCGCGTGCCCCCGCGACGGATACCGTCGCACGGAGGTGGATCGTTGCGTGGGTGCGAGGCACACCTCCCCGTGACGGACACCAGCGCTGGTCCCCGCGACGGGGCACTTTTATATAAAACCACGCAGTTTCAGACCTAATACAGGCTCGTCTTAGATTACGGTGGGGCCAATAATTCTGAGCCCTTTTGAAATGTTTTGTTTTTTTTAACGTTGCCTCACACTAGGATTTTCTCATGTATCGTGGATGCCTTTACAAACATATAAGTTCACATATACATAATGACACTCAGACCCCGAACAATTTGTGGAGGACACAAAGATTTACTCCATGCGGGAATCGAACCCGCTACAAGTTGCACGGCAATCGGTTGCAGTGCCCTTCGTAGAAATTGTCAGTCTTTCGGGGCCCCCTGAGGATGAGTGCCCTGGTGTGCGTTACCCACCCGTGCGGCCAGATGTTGTTGAAAATGGTCATTTGAATCTTATAGATAATTGGTTTTGCAGCTTCTGTAATTTTAGCGCACATTTTTAAATTTATTACGCTTATAGTTTTTTAATTATTTCACAAAAACATTTCCTGCTGGGGTAACGTTATCCCAGCCAAACCTTTTTCTTTCTAATGGGAATATTTAAACTAATTCCTAAGAAGCCATGTACAAAATATGATAAGAATCCGCTTAACCATTTCAAAGATCTAGCAAAACCAAAAACTTTACCCTAGCAAAATCTCGAATATATTCGCAACCGATGAAAGAACAAATACAAAATAAGGCACATTTACTTCATCTAGACAATTAATTTTATAGCTACTTAGTAATTATTTAAATATTCCCATTAGAAAGAAAAAGGTCTGGCTGGGGTAACGTTACCCCAGCAGGAAATGTTTTTGTGAAATAATTAAAAAACTATAAGCGCAATAAATTTAAAAATGTGCGAAAGAATTATAGAAGCTGCAAAACTAATTATCTACATATAAGATTCAAATGACCATTTTCGACAACATCTGGCCTGGGAAACGCACACGGTGCCCGGTACTGGTCTATCATATTGTGATGTTTTATAGCCTTTCTCGAGAAATGGACTATCGGACACTAAAAGATTTTTTACATTGAACCAATCGTTCCAGAGAACGCGTTAGCGTGTTCAAACACCCAAACTCTTCATACATGGATCCTATTGGCGTTATAATTATTATATTATTTCTGTTCCCACAATATATTTCAACTTCCATTTGTATCAACAAGGACATAAATAAAACACATAAATAAATATATCGGTCTATATTAACATCCTTACAAATCTTACAAAATGGATTCAGTCGAAACACTTGATCACTCATTTCTGGGCAGTCGTGTAAATTCATTGTAACCAGTACAATTAGTCTAAATTAATTATATGTAATTATACATTATAATATATTATTGTATTAAACATAATCAATAATTAAATAACACCATATACTTACCTAACAAACTCGTGTACATACATTATATAAAGTTATCTATTACAATTAATATGTAACAAAAGTATCAACATACAAACAGACATGGTTTTAAAATTGACAATAATTAATAAATAAAAACTATTACCAAATTGTTAGCAAGCATGAACTCAACGGTGATATGATAGTAACTACATTTATTACATTATGCGCGACTTGGCGATTGAATCCGAGACATTTAACTTGTACATATTTGTTTACCTCAATATAACCCTGTGTAAATATAACTAAAAGCCTCTTCTCGCACGGAGAAGGTTCGAGCATTAATCATCATGGCTGCTCAATTCGAGTTGGACTTCATTCAAAATGTGTTCATTACAAATAATCGGATTTACTTACATAATCTAAAAACACGGCAAGCCAATAAAATTTACATTTTCAAAAAATATATAACACTTTTACATCTAGGTACATATTATAGTAATGATTAACTTACAAATTGTCTAAAGTAAACTACAGAATCATTCTGCCGTCTTGGTAGATATAAGTCATAACCAGAGGCGTATTATCCCTAGGGCGCGAGCGATTACAGAGAGGCGCCGAGAGACGCGCGGACCTAACTGCCCACGAGTGGCAACGACGCCAAAACTAATTAGCATCTATAAGGTGCTTGCCTAGCGCGCTCTCTAGGTTTAACCCACCTCTAGACATAACTATAGATACAGAATGATATCAAATTATTACCCTCATAAGAACGGTTCAGCTAAAATCTTCATAACTTCTCCGTAAGTCCGTGTGCCGTCATTAAGCTTCGAATAGTTCTCATTAACGTGCATAGAAAAGTCTTGATAATTTGGCTTTTTAGCCCGAGTTGACACCACGACGCCATCTTTATTCTTCTTGTTTAGAACCAGCTCAAACTTGCCGTGGCAATAGCCGCAGCATTTTTTCGTTATGTCTATCGATTTTGAGTGGCGATTTACACTGGAATATATTAAAATCGGATTAGTAACATACTCATTATTTTAGTAAAAAAAAAGTCACTTTATGTCTCTTATTTATTATGTCCCTTACTATGCTATAAAATATAAAACTTTTTTTTTGAGGTGGGGAAATCATCGAATGTCTTCTCCCGCCTGGGTGAGGCGAGGAGCGTCAGACTCTTACTGACTAAAAACCACCCCGTTCCTACTCTTCGCACTTCAAGCTGGAGCCTCGGTAACCCGATAGGTTCTCCGCGGCTCCATATCGGCATCAGCCCTATTGGGCGCCATCCGTGGTGGTCTAATGGCTCTATGAGGCGCACGCGGAACGCGACGCGCCGTACGCTCGGGTCTGGTACTGGTCGGGTCGCGAGCCACCCATGCTCGCCGTCCGCAGGCCCGCGCTTACGGTGGCCGGAGATCGTATATGGAAGGTTTATGATGTATTTTTTTCTTACATCACGCGTGCGAAACCGAGGGCGAAAAGCTAGTAAAAAATATAGAATATCTCACCTATATCCACATTTGGTACATTTGTAGGAGTATTTGTAATGTATCTGCATGTCGTGGCATCTCGATATCTCGCCCAGTTCAGGGTACACTTTGAGAGCGCGCTTAGCCCTGGAAACGTAAAAAATAATATGAACGTTAATACACACACAGATAGAAATGAGTAGAATTGTAGCAATAGCGACTAACGAACAAGGGGTATTGAGTATTCAGTTGTCATAAAATGTCTATGAATTTTTTTAGTCATAGCTTGTCTGGAGACTGGAACTGTACTTAGGATTTTAAGTCTTAAGTCTCCCTATATTAAATGGGTGCCATTAATAACATAAATAGTCAAAAATGGGTGTTATATTGTCCATGTGCACATTATGCCCCCCTTTCGGGGGTAAAAAGAGGATACGTGATGTCTATATATTAAATTGAATATATATATTAAATTAGTTATTCGGCTTATTCACGTAAATCATGCTAGAGGCTCATATTCATGAGCAGCGCTCCGCGACACACGATCCGGCGACTGTCGCGCTGCTACTAGCCAGTAGCTTCTAGGATGGATTGAAACTAGTCAAGGTCCTAGTCATACTACTAGCCAGTAGCTTCTAGGATGGATTGAACGCCGGGGCGAAACTCCGCTGCCGCGCCAGATAAGTGCGTGGCGGAATGGCAGCAACGACTGTCGCAACCGAGGGCTGGGCTCGCTGCTATAGCAGCGGTAAGTCCCCTCTTTGAGGAGTGGCTTGAGAGACGCTACGGTGTCCTCACCTACCGCCTGACGCAGGTCCTCACCGGACATGGAAGTTTCGAGAGGTACCTGTGTCTGATGGGGCGGGAGGAAACGCCCGGGTGTCATCACTGTGAGGACCGCCCTGAGGACACGGTGGAACATACTGTAGCGGAATGCCCTGCGTGGGCTGAGCACCGCCGTGCCCTCAGGGAAGTGATCGGCGATGGCGACTTCTCGCGTCCGGGCCTAGTGCGGGTCATGATGCGGGACTGGGATGCCGTCTCCTCCTTTTGCGAAGCAGTCATGCAAGCTAAGGAGGCGGGACGCGTGAGGCAGCGAAGGGTTGCCTTCTCGCAACCCAGCCATCGCGAAGGACACACCGGGCGTCGGGGATCGCGGGACGATCTCCGGCCACCGTAAGCGCGGGCCTGCGGACTGCGAGCATGGGTGGCTCCCCGTCCGACTCGAGCGTACGGCGCATCGCGCTCCGCGCGCGCCCCAAAGAGCCATCAGACCACCACAGATGGGGCCCAATAGGGCCGATGCCGATTCGGAGTCGCGGAGAACCTAACGGGTAACCGGGGCCCCAGCTCGACGTGCAGGAGAAGGAACGGGGTGGTTTTTAGTCAGTAAGAGTCTGACACTCCCTCCCGCCTCACACAGGCGGGAGCAGTCATTCGATGATTATCCCCCCTTAAAAAAAAAGGATGGATTGAAACTAGTCAAGGCCCTAGTCATGCTACTGCCAGTAGCTTCTAGGATGGATTGAAACTAGTCAAGGTCCTAGTTATGCTACTAGCCAGTAGCTTCTAGGATGGCTTAAACTAGTCGAGTTCAGAGAGTCAGTAGAGAAACAGTTACGTGACTAAGCCGAAAACATAATAATTAGGTGCCGTGTTGGTATTTCTAATATTAACTGGCAAAAGGTGACTTCTAACTCTTGGAGAAAATTTCATAAAACATGCAATCAGATTACCATTTATTCCACAGCGGTCCATGTCCAGCTTTGAGCTCGAAGTCAATCAGCCAAGTGGCAGCATGGCACAGCTCATGTATAAGGGTGTCCCTTAGCCTCTGAGGTCTATCCAGTACCTTGGTAGACAGCTTTATGGTGGAGGTCCTAATACGCTCGCCTTTCGCATTCTTTATCATGCGATTTGTTGTTGTTCTGTAAAATTTTGATTGAAGACATTAATGTTTTTAGTTCAATGAGTGAAAGACAAGAAATGTATTATATAACAACATAACTTCACGCCTTTTACCCCCGAAGGGGTAAGCAGAGGTGCACAGTAAGGCACTTAATGCCACTGTACATTGTAAAATCCACTTTACACTATTTTATGTTATAATTCGCATGTAATAGGGAGTGAGCCTATTGTCATATACCGTATTTCCAGATTTTTTTTTAAATTTAAAAGTGAAGCTATCTGCTCAATTCAAGGTGTAGGTTCATATGGAGGAGAACAAGCAAGAAACTCCATAGGTTACTCTTTTGCATTCGGATGCACAATACAATTCTCTAGTTACATAGTTTTGTTGGTATCCATAATTGACCTATCCTATCCTATATTTATAACTTCTACTAAGTATATTTCGTGTGCGTAACCCAGGCCAGATGTTGTAGAAAATGGTATTTTAATCTTATAGATAATTAGTTGTGCGGCTTCATTTTTAAATTTGTTGCGCTTATAGTTTTTTAATTATTTCACAAAAACATTTTCTGCTGGGGTAACGTTAGGGGTAACGTTACCCCAGCAGAAAAGGTCTGGCTGGGGAGCCAGACCTTTTCTTTCTAATGGGGATATTTAAATAATTACTAGCTATAAAATTAGTTGTCTAGATGAAGTAAATGTTGTGCCTTATTTTGCATTAATTTGTTCTTTATTATAATATATTATATTCGAGATTTTGCTGGGGTAACGTTTTTGGTTTTGCTAGATCTTTGAGACGGTTAAGCGTATTCTTATCATATTTGGTACATGGCTTCTTAGGAATTAGTTTAAATTTATTATGCAATGAAAAAACCAAAATAAGACATAGCTTAAAGGTTATTTCATTAAATAGAAAAACACTTCAATTGGTCCCAGCACTTCAATAAGAGCTCGAAAGACTTACTTTAACGTTATTTTAAAGCTTGTAACTGCCTTCAAATCCATGTGAAGTTTCATTAGTAACCTGTAAAAACGTTACCCCAGCAAAATCTCGAATATAATATTATAATAAAAAACAAATACAATTTAAGGCACAACATTTACTTCATCTAGACAACTAATTTTATAGCTAGTAATTATTTAAATATTCCCATTAGAAAGGAAAAGGTCTGGCTGGGGTAACGTTACCCCAGCAGGAAATGTTTTTGTGAAATAATTAAGCAACTATAAGCGCAACAAATTTAAAAATGTGCGCAACAATTACAGAAGCCGCACAAATAATTATCTATAAGATTCAAATGACCATTTTCGACAACATCAGGCCTGGGTAACGCACATGTCTATTCCATAAGGCTATGTTATATCCTAGTATTCGGTGTCGGTGCGCCTGCCAAAACTGATATGTGCATAAATTTTTTCGCCATCATACTGCAATTTTAATCACTACATAGTTTAAAACAAAGTAGCTATCCGACGTCTGTCTGTCCCTATGAATGATTAGATCTTTAAAACTACGCACCGGATTTTGAGGCGGTTTTTTTAAATAGATAAAGTGATTCTTAGGGAAGGTTTATATGTACACATGCACATTACACATGTGCGAAGCCAGGGCGGGTCGCTAGTTTATTACTAAGTCCATCAATCTTTCAGTGTAAGTGTAAAAAACAGTTTACTGTCTCCCCTGAAGACTTGGCTAAATGCGCATAACAGTTTTGGTAGGTGCACCAACTTAATATGAGTGAATATGGCAGAAAGTGGTTAAGAATACTTATCACTTACCCAGCAGTTGTTCTAAACCTAGGATCCCATAGTATAGGCAGGTCAGTTTCCATGACATTGTCAAAAACATTCTTATTGAATTCCACAAATAGCCTCCGAGCTAACTGTTCCTTTAGATTCTTGTAGTTGTCATGGTATTGTAGCGCTTCTACGTTACATCGATAGGATGGTATGTCATCTGTAATTGAGAAGGTTTTTGTTAGTATCATTAAAAAAAGAGAATAACATCCACATTGGGAAGTCGGTAAAAAAGCAGAATAAAGCATTTTTTAATAAATTCACTATTGGACTGCCTCGTTGGCCGAGTGGTCGCAAATGCGACTACCGGGCAAGGGGTCTCGGGTTCGGTACCCGGGTCGGGTAAAGTATAACTGGATTTTTAAAAAATTCTCAGTAGTAGCATGGAGTCTGGAATTGTTCCTGGTATATGGCATTAGGCTCACTCCCTATTACATGAGACTCATAACATAAATAGTGAAAAGTGGATGTTATGTTGTAAAGTGTGGCATAATGTGCATCTTTGCCTACCCTTTCGAGGATAAAAGGCGTGATATTATGATGTTATGTAAATTCACTATGTAAGTTTCGTTGTTCATTAAATGTTTCAATACATAAAAATAAAAAGTTTGACTGACATGTGAATTGAACTTAAAACCTTACTGAGTAGGTGTGGTTGCGAACACTCGTCTAATCAGCCAGTTTATCTTAGTGCAGCTCAAAAATAAAAAAGAGTAAATTTAGTTTATAAAAAAAAAATTACCTGCCAGAGAGCCAATAAAGCTAAGTCTCGTATCATCTTTAATTACGGGTGCAACACAAACATTCTGAACTTTCTTTGTTAACAGATCAACATCGTTATTCATAACTTCCACCATCTCCGTTACACTCATAGCCTTATTCACTTTCGTTTTCTTCGTTGTACTGGCAACATTCCTCGGTTTAATCTTTCCTATTTCAGGAGTACTAGGTACTTTTTCAGTGTACAACTTTTTCTTAGATTTTCTTTCAGAATCCGTAGTCATATCAACTCTTCGTTTGGCTTCAGAATCAGTCAAATACAACATTTTATTCTGCTTCAAATCGTGTCTTATATTCTCTTTATCACTTTCATCTTCGTCAAACTGTAATTTCTTTGATATAGTGTCATAGTTCTCACAATTCGCTTTAATAGCTTTAAATAACTTTGGTATTGATTTCCATTGCTCTCCATATAAATCGTTAAGTATTTTCTTTTGTGATAAGTGTATTTTCTTTAACGAACACTGTTCATGTGATTCGTTTGCTACGTCTCTGGGGGATGATGGTGTGGGATCATGCTTGGGTGTGGCACAAATGATGTGCTGTGCAGGTGACCATCCTCCGATGCTTGGTCGTGATCCTTTTTTCGTTGATGATGTTTCTTCTCTTGAACAGTTGAAGGATATCTGGAAATTAGTAATTAGATTGTTGTTATAATGTACAAGACTAGATAATCATACCTTTTTGAAGGGGTAGTGCTTGTAATTATTAAACTTATTATACATATTTTCAAGATGTTTACATACTACATATTTACATTACCAGACCCTAATAGCACTAAAACACTAAAAATGCTAGATTCTGCCTGAAAACTACACATATTTAAGTAAGTACTTAACAGTCAGCGTGGAATAGCCATGCTTCAGCACGAATGGGCCGGCGCGACCGGAGTGATACCACGGCCTCACAGAAAACCGACGTGAAGCAAAGCTTGCATTGTTTCGTCGTACGTCGTCGTTTCTCTACAATCCCTGAGTCCCCAACAATCCTCAAACTCCGAATCCCCAAAAGGCCCGTAACACACTTATGTGTTGGTGTTCCAGGTGTCCATGGGCGACGCTGATTGCTTACCATCAGGTGATCCATCTGTTTGTTTACCGGCTTATGCCATAAAAAAACAGTCAGTTGTTCTAATACATAAGGGATTACCTAATGTACTGAATATACTTTATGGTTGGAAGTAGAGATCTGACGATTTAAGTTTCAGGCAACCAGTATGCAAAACAGGCTGGTGATGATTAATACTACATAACATAACATCACGCCTTTTATCCTCGAAGGGGTAGGCAGAGGTGCACATTATACCACTGTACAATGTAACACCCACTTTTCACTATTTATGTTATGAGTCCCATGTAATAGGGGGTGGACCTATTGCCATATATACAGGGCACAATTCCAGGCTCCGTGCTACTACTGATTAATACACACTACTACATAATAGTGCATGACCCTATATTTTAATTTCATTCAAATCTGACTATTGAAATCTTTGTATAATTAATAAATGGTACATTAATTTGCAAGA